CTAATTTAACCACTTTGCTGTCTGAGCTCAGCTCACTCATATAAGCAGTGAGCAGTAAAATTTGGCCTAGATATGAGAGAATGGGTCGATGCAGTAGGTGTGCACCACATAAAAAAAACATTCTGCCCCACGCAGTGCATAATGAGAAAAAAATTGCAACAGTGTTTTTGGTTTAAAATAGCGACTTTGTGGTGTATTTTTGGATGGTTTTTATGACTGTTTTCTTGGTTTCTTGATATCAGTTGATAGAAGGGAAGATATACTACAGAAATAGATATGATTTTGATTGATTTCCAGGCTGAAAGTAGTTTGAAATTGAGCTCAAAGTATTGGAAATAGTTTGATTTTTGCCGATATCCTAGAGTAAACAAATCACCTCGCCTGTCCAATACATGTCCAGCTGGTCAGTCTAATATGTGTTCATGAATATGCTTACATTATATATACAATTATTACAATAATGCATAGCAGTAAATCTTAATAATAATAATAATATTTTATTTCAACATAATACATATTTGTACAGAGGAATATAATAGTAGGGTGTACAGGCCAAAAATCCCCTTATATGTGAAGCATTTTGGGCAGACTTAAAACAAACTTAAAATTAATGAGGCAATAACAGAACATATGGTCATTAGGTGAGTTACAATGAATACAAGAGAACTTGAATATTCTATTAGGTTGTGCTATAATGGCTTTAATAAGTTTTGTAGAGAAGAATTACAATTTTGTTTATAACCTTAGGTGGACATCATATATTTTTTTTTGTGTGGGTCAAAATTCTTTGTGCGAATAAAAATTCAAAATGGAATTCATGTGTAAAGCCTGAGAACATAACAGATGAACAGAGGAAATGTTATTTTAGTGCCAAGAATGCCTACATTGTTTATTTTGGACCCTGTTTGGAAATTGGCAAATTTTGAAATTTGTGTTTAATTGGCCAAGTTACTAATCACTTTGTTGGGTAGTTGAAATAGTTGATTGGGTGGTTTCTTGTACTAAATCAATAAAATGGAAGACATAGTAGCAAAATAGCCAAGAATTTGGTAGACTGAAACAGTGTAATTGCCCTAAAATAGGACTCAGAGTGGGCAGAATTGCCCATGTGTAAATACTGCTGAGACCGCTAACTTTGCAAGTGTAATTCTATGAGTTTTCCATGAAATTTTGCACCTTTGGTTTCATTACCTTAGAAAAAAGATTCGCTATCAATTCATAAGAAAAAAAAAAAAAATTTTTTAAATTCTTGAATACTGTGGACAATTTTTTGATCAGTGGTCTGAACACTTAAAGGGTTATGTAACCCTTCCTTGGTGGGAGATAACTGTTGAGTTAAAAAAATATTGTGTGTACGTATGTCTGTATCTATACACACACGCGTGTTATACCTATTATTAAGCCATGTCAGGCAGACAAGCCGAATTGTATTAAAAATATATTTGTATTTTAAATTTAATCTTATGCATTGATGTATATTTTCATTTACACGAAAACCACTTCTTACATATACTTGACGTTACCCATGTTCTCTTGTTAGAGCGCCAAATTATAGAGAGATTGGATTTGTAGAAGTTCTTCATAGCTCTTGGCATTTCAGAGTGGTAGACTAACAGGGACTGAAGCTTGAAATCCCCTGCTGCATTGCCTCCCAGAAGAAGTGTGAGATGGTCCTTGGTTGCCTTGAATTCTGTAGCCTTCTTCTCATCTCTTGATAAGAAGGCGCTTGATGGCATCCAGTTCCCGTACAGCCCAGTTTCGTCAGCATTGAAAACTTGCTGAGGTGTGTAGCCACCATCTTCTATGATCTGCAACATAGCTTGATAAGAGGCTACTGCCTCTGTATCAGCACTCGCAGCCTCATCACTCGGTGAAATGTTCTCAAAGTTGCCACGTCTCTTAAACCTTTCAGATTACTCCTTACTTGTGCACAAATTCAACTCTCCTACATTCTCACCTTCCTTAAGATTTATTCTCTCAAACAAACTCTTGGCTTTCTACTGTATAACCAACGTGCTAAGAAGCACTTATTGCTGGGTCTGAAGTTCAGTCCAAGCCTGCAACAGTGACCTACAAGTGCAAGTAACACTACCAGAGACATAATTTGCGTGCTAATCGCATTGTAAATTTATGAAGATTTTGACCGTGTATACACTGGAATTGGGTAGTTCAAAAATTTTGAAGATTGCACCTGTTTTCCTTGCCAGCATCAACACATTGTAAAATATTCACTTTGATGTTTAGAGCATTGCTCTTCCTCTGCCTTCACACCATGGCAGTCATTATCATTTAACAGCCTTTTGAAACTCACATTGGCTGGATAAAATTTACATGAAGATTGAAGCTTATATAAAAAACAAAATGCAAAGTTTCACTGGCTCACCCAGCAGTAACAATTGCTATGTAGCAAGTTTAATTAGTGTACCTCGGCCTTCATTACTCCGACATGTGAGCCTGGCCACCATGTGTGTGTATGTGCGTGTGTTTGTAATGAGAGTATAACATCCTGCATTTCTAGTGCAAACTGCTAAGAGGAAATTAAGTGGAGGCTATGTTGTCGTTAGATGAAATTCTTCTCTAATTACTCCTTGGTCATTAACCCCCTCAATGTCTGAAGCCTTGAAATTAAAATTGCTCTCAATGTCCACATTTAAAAAAAAAACTCTTGTTAGTTAGAAGAGCATATTTTTCTGGTGGTAATAAAAGAAAAAAATCCCATAGTACTTGCCGTGATATGAAGGTGTGAAATTAAAGGTCACTGACTCACTGATGGCATCATTGGCAATTGCTGTACTCTCCACATTTTTCTGGAGTTTTCTAATTTTTTCCATTTTCCATTAACTTCTTTGGCCTGAGACCCATATCATGCACAGTGCATATATCCACCAGTTGTGTGCAACTCAATACCTGCACTAATAGTGTCATCAGTATATTGTTTACGAAACCTGTTTACACAACAACGTAAACACAGAGGTAAAAATTTTTTTACATTACTATTGTTCTAATATCTGTGGACATATATACAGGCATTGTTCATGTTCCTTTTTACATTCTTCACACATAAAGCATGTCTCTGCTCTTTGATGGGTGCCTTGTTGTATGTGCACATATGTAACATCACTTCTGAGCCCATTTCTTCTTTTCTGTAGCAGGAAGTCTCATTAAAAGTGATCACTAAGCTTCAAAGAAGATGGTACTGTATTTGGTGATAATCTCACAGCAATATTTCCAGCGTCGTGAGCTATAATTTTGGTCACTGTATCTTCGAAACCAAAGAACTTATCATCAGTTCTATAATTCTCATTGTTGGAGCTGTCACTGGAGAATAAAACTTGTTCAGTTTGCCTAGGACTGAGGCCTTTGTGTCCGCTCAGCATGGTGTTCCCACAATGCACTGCAGGGTCCCCAATTTTTTTTTATACTGCTCACACTGACCATAAAGATCCATTGTTTCATATGTAGGCCTACCAGGCATCTTGCACTAAATTTGAAGCCACTAGAATTTATGCAGAGATCTACATAAGGAACCCTGGCATCAGTCATGTAAATCTGCATGACAGCCACTGAAAGGGTTAATTGAAATTTCATTAAGCAAACTGTTTTCAAAACTTAAGAATTACCATATAAAATTATAAAGATATGGGAGAGGGTAGTTAGGGGAGATTTCTTAATGCCCTCAACAGGAAGAACAAGAAGTTGCACTTGTAAATTTGTGAAAAAAGTGATGTAAAGGATATTAGAAAATTTTTCACACTGGAATAAATAGCAGATGGCTGGAATGGGAACCAGGATCAGATACTGTGTACTACAAGCACTAGACAACTTAAATAGTCATATGACAGACAAAACACTAAAGAAGGAATAAAGTGATCAGAAATTGGTAATTTGGCCAATTTCACACAAATTTCAAAAGATACCAGTTTCAAAATGGTGTCCAGAATAAACAATGCAGACATTCCTGGCACTAAAATAACATTTTCTCTGTTCATTAGTCATGTCTCCAGGTCCCTCTTATATTACACTTGCTTTCCATTTTGAATTTTTATTCACTCAAAAAATAGAAGATTTACTGTTACGCAAACTACTGCATTATTGTAATAGTTGTATAAATAATGTCAACTCCTTGTGACTGCATATTAGACCAACCAGTTAGACATGGATGGTGACATCATTTGTTTACTCTTGAACATTGGCAATAATTGAACATTTTGCTACTTTGAGCTCATTTTCAAGGTACTTTCCATCCTGAAACCAATCAGAATCATTTCTATTTCTGTAATATATCTTCCATTCTATCAAATGAGACCAAAAAAACGAAAATACAACCATAAAAAACATACAAAAATATACCGCAAAGTCGCTGTTTTACACCAAAAACACACTCAGCTTTTTCCTCACGCTCTCCGTGCTGCAGATTTTTTTTTATATAGTGCACACTTACCATACAGACCTATTCTATCATATGTAATCCCAAATTTACTAGTCACAGCTTATCTGAGTGAGCTGAGCTCATTGTGTCATACTATGGGACCACAGTGGCTTCAAAGCCACCCTTATCTTTTATGGACAGTGTACAGTGTTTGCACTTTACACAGCGAAAAGCATTTCCTTTATTGGTTGGAACCTTGCCTAGGGTTAAAAGTGAGCAGGTTTTAACAATAAATGGAGAAATACATATTGAAATGACTTATGCAGCGCCACCAGACGGTAGCGGCAGGTTGGTGCAGCGACCCCAGAAATTTGAAATTACGCTAGCTGAAATTAGTCCCGGATTACTGCTGGAACTGGATTAGTGATGGCCGACCTGTACCTGTAATATATTATTGAAATTATTATAATATATAATAATAAAAATCACAAAATATTAGTGTGCAATAATTAATATGGTTGTTGAAGAATCTGTGTGTAATGTCTTCCTTAAAAAAATATATATTTTATGTAGACAAACATAGTTCATCACACAGTCACAATTTTTTTCTAGTGACTTTCTTGCTTTCTAGGTACATGTTTGGAGCCTCGACCAGTCAGGATTCTTAGAAAAGAGTGTTGTTGTTCATCTGGTGCTGCATGGGGTCTGACCTGTGATCGCTGCCCACACATCAGTTCGGGTGAGTTGTACAGCAATTTATCTGCTATGAACTCAGTAACTTAACCTAGTCTGCTGCATGACTCACCATTATCAAGCATACTATTCACTAAGACTTTCCTCACTAATACCACTGGCATTATACTGGACACTATACTCACACCTAGGTTCTTCTCCTTGAGTGAAGTCTACAGCTTCTTTTCTCTGAGCCTATCTCTGTTTCTGGTCTTCTTGAGCCTTTCCCATTCTTCATGCATGCTTGTGTGATTGAGTGGGAGTAATAAAGCAGTGGAACAGGATGCAACTTTTGGAAGTTTGAAACAACTGTATGATAAAATACATACTGAAAACAAGATAGCATGAGCATAGCTTTGCTTTTATAGCTTCATATATGTATTCACAGTATGTTTAGCTAAAGTGGATGAAACAGAGCTTATAACATATTCAGATAACAACACTTTTATACAGGTTAACATTCATTTTTTATGCTTAACAAATAAAACAGATATAACATTTATCCATGAAGTAATTTACTCTTCTTCATTTCTCTGTCTCTACAGGTTTCCTCTTAATTATCTCGTTGTATTTGTTTTTCCTTTATTTATTTAGCTTGATGTCATGTAACACATAACATGTTATGTAGGTACAGTATATGTTTGTAGAAGTAATCATTATTTTTTATCAGAAATTTTATGTTAAACTGGGCAATTTACAATATGTCTGATAATTGTACTTATGTGTATACTGGAGGGTATATGTAGGGCCCCGCTTTACAGCATTTTGCTTTACGGCATTCCACTAATACAGACTTTTCAATTATGACCAAAACTCACTGTACGGCTCCCCCTATCTTTCTAATGCCTAGTTCTGTTGCTAACATAATATATGTGAAAAAATGGTCTTCAACTTTCTGGCAATGTCCGCTTTCTGGCGGTAGCCTGGAACCTAACCTGCCATATAAATAGGGCCCTACTGTACTTACTTATGATACTGCTCAGTTCTCCAGTACGTATTTCATTGAACACTTGTTGGAAAACTTTCATATTCATTTTTGTTAGCATTCTTCATATCGGTATGTTACTCTACTTCCAAGTTCAGCTGTGAGGAACATGATGTTGTATTAATTAATATGTTTGGTAAAAGAACACAAGTGCAACTTAACTCTTTGAGGGTCGAGACCCTTGCTTGCAAACTTGCTCCCTGGATCGAAGAATTTAAAAAAAAAAAATTCTTATGAAACAATAGGGAATCTTTTTCTGAAGTTAATGAAACCAAAAGCACAAAATTTGATGCTAAACTTGTGGAATTACTCTCTCACAAATTTAGCAGCCTCGGCAATATTTATGCATTGGCGATTTCGCCCACTGAGCCCTATTTTGGGTCAATTCCCTTGTTCCAGCCTACCACATTCATAGCTGTTTAACTAGAACTCCTTTTATTCTGTTGACTGAGTACAAGAAACTGCCCATTTACATATTTCATCTACCCAATAAAGTGATCAGAAATTACTAATTTGGCCAATTTCACACAAAATTCAAGAAAGGCCAATTTCAAAATAGGGCCCAGAATAAATAATGTGCACATTCCTGGCACTAAAATAACATTTTCTCTGTTCATTAGTCATGTCTCCAAACCCCTGTTATATTACACTTGCTTTTCATCTTGAATTTTTATTCACACAAATACGTAATAGATTTACTGTCATTCAGACTACTGCTTAATGGTAATAACTGTATAAATAATGTCAATGCATTCATGAGTGCATATTAGACTGGCCAGGTGACGTGTATTGGACACGTGATGTGTTTTGTTTACTCTTGCACATCGGCAGAAATTGAACATTTCTGCTACTTCGAGCTCAATTTCAAGCTACTTTTAGTCTATATTCCATTCAAAATCATCCCTATTTCTGTAGTATATCTTTCATTCTATCAGTTGAGACCAAGAAACCAAGAAGACAACATAAAAACCATACAAAAATATACCACAAAGTCGCTGTTTTACACCAAAAACACGGTTGCCGTTTTTTTTAACCCTTAAACAGTCCAAACATACAGATACGTTCTCTCGCGTAACACCCCAAACGTATATGTACGTTTCCTTCGTCATTCATTCAGCATTGGCACGATAAGCCTGAGTCACCTAGACATAAGAGAATGGGTGTGCGCACTCACTGTGCGCCATATGAAAAAAATTGAGGACGCCTGGGTACCATATGCTCTTTTTTCCTATTAAAATTTTTTTTTTCTCAAAAAATTCGGGGTGCTACACAAGAGAACGTATATATATATATTTGGACAGTTTAAGGGTTAATCGTTATGCAGTGCGTGCTGCAGGATTTTTTTATACTGCACACACTGACCATGCAGACCCATTCTTTCATGCAAGATTGGAAGCTCCTAAAATTTTGGCGTAGTTTTATGAGACCGACCCCGAAAGGTTAGTGTGACATTTTATTATGACAACGTTTTGCTCTCCAGGAGCTTTTGTCAAGCTGTTATGGCTTGACAAAGCTCCTGGAGAGTGAAGCGTTGTCACAATAAAGTGTCACATTAAGTTGCACTTGTGTCCTTTTACCTAACATACTGTCGGTAATCTTTTTTTTTTTTTTTTTTTTTTTAACAAGTCGGCCGTCTCCCACCGAGGCAAGGTAATTCTACGAACATTAATTAATATATTCAGACCTGAAGATTTGTCTTTTTCTGAGGACAGATTCCCAGTTAATTTTTTTAAAAATTCCATTATCTCTTCTGCTTATAATCCATAGCTGAGTTTGAGAAGCTGTGTCCGCTGGGACCTGGCCGATCAGAATCTGGTGCTGATCTGAATGAATGTGAGATCATGCCTGGATCATGCCAAGGAGGAGACTGTGTCAACACTGATGGTTCCTTCCGATGTGAATGTCCCATGGGTTACGTTCTAGATCATTCTGGTCGCCGTTGTGTAGGTTAGTAACTCCCACAGTACAAAAGATTATTAATTATCTACTAAATTTTGATTTGTAATTATTTGTAAATTTTACTGGGGAATAGAAATGATAGATACTTTTATGACAGATGGTTTTATGATAAGTGTATAGTTGTCATAAATGCTAAATACTTTTATGATAAATGGTTTATATAATATATAGTTGTCACATCTGACTATTATATCTGTGACTTGTGCAAAATGTGTAATATATTACACATAAGGTCAGTTAAATAACAGTTTTTATGACCAGGATAAATCTTCAAAATGGCAAATTAAGTAGGAATAGAAAATACAAATGATTAATGGTTATGCCTTACTGTTTTTTCTAGACGACAATGAATGTGCTGTTTCAAGCGTCTGTGGTAATGGCACCTGCAGCAACGTGGAGGGAGGATTCGAGTGCTCTTGCCAAGATGGATTTGCACCAGGACCCATGCAAGTATGTGAACATAACTATTGATATATCTTATGATGATTTAACATTTAATTTTGATTAAATAATGGTTGGATTATTTGGAATTTAATAAATATTATATTTATACATAAGTTGTGGCTCAGATAACAGTGGTCTCAGCCTGTGTGAAACATCACTCTTCATAGAAATTGTTTGTTAACATAATTTATTATGTATTAAAGCAATGAAACCAAGTAAATAAATGTTGAAAACTGTCATTCTTTTGGGAAAACTATCCATGGTGTGCCACTTTTCAATATCTACATTTTAAGTAATATTTCATCATTTACATCTGAACTTTATAGAATGAAGGTAGGTGCTGAAAAATATATGTAAGTTGTGCCTATAATAACATACTAAAAAAAATTATTTTTTTTACATATATTATATATATATAATATATATATATATATATATATATAATATATATATATATATATATATATATATATATATATATATATATATATATTATATATATATATATTATATATTTTTTTTTTTTTTTTTTCAACAAGTTGGTCGTCTCCCACCGAGGCAGGGTGACCCAAAAAAGAAAGAAAATCCCAAAAGAAAATACTTTCCATCATCAACACTTCACCACACTCACCTTTTTATCACGTTTTTGCAGAGGTGTAAAAATCGACGTTTGAAGCATATAAGTTAAAGATACACAACATACCCTCCAAACTCCCAAAATACCCAAACCCCCCCTTTAAAGTGCGGCATTGTACTTCCCATTCCGGGATCAAGTCCGACTATAAGAAAAAAACCCCGGTTTCCCTAATCCCTTCACTAAATATTCCCCTGCCCACACCCCCAACAGAGTCAGCCCAAGTCCCCCCATTCATCCCCATTCACTCCTATCAAACCGTTAAAACGCCGGTTGCTGGAAGCCCAAGCCCTTGCCCACAAAACCCTCCTTTACCCCTCTCTCCAACCCTTTTCGAGGTGACCCCTACCCCCCTTCCTTCCCCCTATAAAATTTATATGTTTTCCCATTCATTCACTTTGATCCATTCTCTCAAAAAGCCCCAAACCACCCCAAACCCCTTTTCTGCCCCTGCTAATATTTTTATTAACTCCAAACCTTTCCAAATTTCCACACCCAAATTTTTCTGCATAATTTTTACATCACACATTGCCCTTAAAAAGGGACATCCCCTGCCCCCAAACCCCCTTCCCCTCGCTGCTGCATTTACCACCCAACCACACCCATAAAAGAGTGTTGGTACTACATATTTTCATACATTCCCCTTTTCTTTGCCTCCATAGATAAGTTTTTTTTGACTCCACATATACCTCAATGCTCCACTCACCTTTTTCCTTCATCAGTTCTATGTTAACCTCACCTTCATAATCCACCCCGACACGTCAACCCCCAATTCTAAAATATTCACTTCTTCCATACCCCCCCCCCAATTTGAACCCAAATTTTTTTTATCTAAACATTTGTACCCTCACCTTTACACACATTCCAAACTCCACTAACCTTTAAATTTTTTTCTTTAAAAACTCCCATAACACAGTATCTCAAAAAAAGTAACTGTGAAATTTCCCATTTTGAATTTGATTCCCCAAATTTAATCCCCCCTTCCCCCCAAACACCCTAGCATTTACTTCCTTTACAACCCCATTAAAAAATATTTTAAAACCATGGTGACTTACACATCCCGTCTAAGCCCTACTTTTACCGGAAAGTAGTTCCCTCTCTTCTACACACCCTAACCTACCCCCTCACTACCCCTCATAAAAACTCTTTACAGCTTTTAAAATTTTACCACCTTTCCCATATACTTAACATCTGCCCAATTTGCCCCTCTACCATCTATCATATCCTTTTCAAAATCCTAATCAATAGAAATTTCCCTTCTTTATCTAAATACTGTTCACATATATGCTTCAATGTAAAACATTGATTACACATCCCCTACCCACCTAAAACCCCCCTTTGCTCATCTGCATTCCTACATTCTGTCTTCCCTCTAATTCTTTCTTTTAAAAACCCTACTGACACTTTTCCTGGTATATCAGAAATTTATTCCTTAAATTTTTACGTCTCTTTTGCCCCCTTTTCCCCTTTAAAAAAGGGGGCTTACATGCTCTCCGCCATCCCTGGGGTACCTTTTTCCCTCTTTCATACATTATTAAACAAAAGTACCAACCACTCCAACACAAATTTTCCCCCCCTGCTTTTAGTATTTTTCTGATCCCATCAGTTCCACTGCTTACCCCCTTCATTCAACGTAATGCCTCACTACCTCCCCCACATTACATTCACTCTTTCTTCACCCAAAAAGATGGAAAAACCTCCCTGACCCAGTGAATGAAAATTACTGTCTCTTTTCTTTTTTAACTTTTAAAAATTTTCCTAAAAATTTCTCGCCATCTCCCTAATACCTCCATCCCCCATCACTAATCCCCTCCCTTTTTTTTAACTGACAAATCCATACTTTTTCCCTAGGCTTTTTAACTTGTTTAATCCCCAAAATTTTTTCTTATTTTCATTAAAATTTTTTGACAGTGCCTCTCCCACTCTTTCACTGCTCTCCTTTTGCACTCTCTCACCACCTCTTTCCTTTCTTTTACTCTCCTATACTCTCTCTTTTAAAACACTTCTGCTAACGTATATACATATATAACTATACTTTTTATTAAAATTTTACAATAATTTTGGGGGAGATTGGGAAAAGTGAATGTTTTCAGATATTTGGGGAGTTGACGTGTGCGGGGATGGATTTATGAAGGTGGGGTTAATCTAGAATTGATGAGGGAAAAAAAGGGAGGGGTGATTGGGGTTAGGGAAAACAAAACATGTTTCATGGAGGCAAAGAAGGGAATGTATGAAAGCATCAAACCCAAAACCCTTATAGGGGTGAAGGGGGGGGTTGTGAGCAGCAGTGAGGAGGGGGTTGGGGGCAGTGGAGATTCGTCTAAGAGCATGGTGGGTAAATATTAGGCAAAAATTTTTCGAGTGGGAAATTAGGAAAAGGGTGTGGAGTTAATAAAGCATTAGTCAGGGGTTGAAAGGGGTTTTTTAAAGGGGGTTTTGGTCATTTAAAAGAGAATGGACAAAGTAGAAGACATGGAGAGCTTTTAAAAATCTGTAGGGGGTCACCCCTCGAAAAGGTTGGGGGGAGGAGGAAAAGGAGGTTTGTGGGGGGGGTTTTGGACTTCCAGCAAGGTGCGTGAGGGGTTAAAAGAGTAAAATGGGATAAAGGGTATTTGGGACCCACATCTGTTGGGGTGAGCAGGAAAATATTTAGTAAGGGTTTCAGGGAAAACCATTATTTTTTAACCCGGACTTGAGCCCCGGGAAAGGGAAGTACAACCCTGCATCTAAAGGGGGGGTTTGGGATATTGGGCATTTTGGGGGGGATTGTTGTGATCTTTAAGATAATGCTTCTTAACTGTTGTGTTCTGGCACCTCTCAAAAACGTGATTAGTGGGGTGAGGTGAAAAATGTTAATGAATAAAGTTTTTTTCTTTTTGGGGGATTTTCTTTTTTTTTGGGGCAACCTGCCTCGGGGGGAGACAGCTGACTTGAAAAAAAAAAAAAAATATCAAAAGGCAAAGGTCATGTGGAAAAACACTGTGCATATTGCACAGAAATTTTTGCATTATTTTTTTTTTTATTTTTTAATTTTTTATTTTTCTTAAAGGGGTTTTATAAATTTCATTACATTAAAGAATGTTTCATCTTTTTTTTTGATTACATCTTTGGTGACATCTTTGCAATTATATCAAGCTGCCTATGATGTGTGTCAGTGGCATAAATTAATTCCTTATATTTTCTGACAGGGTTGTGAGGATGTTGATAGTTGAGGAGTTGGGGGGCCCCCATGTGCCCTTCCGATGCACAAATATGGTGGGGCCCTTTCCCCTGCATTTGCCTTTTTCTTTCACTTTTTGGGTCCTGATGGTCGTCTTGTCAAGATGTTTGATGAATGTTCAACCCGGCAAACATTGCAGGTTCCTTGCAAAAAAGATTGGACTTTATTGTAATGTCCTGATGGTACCCAAAAGGTCATTTTATAAATCACTATATTTGGAATATATATATATTTTTTTTCTTTGTTTATTTTTGCTTTCAAAATTAATCACTATTTATAAAAGAAATTTATCTGTCCTTCAGAAAAATTTTAAATAGGGAAGCTTTTTTCATAATACATTAGCATATTTTTGAAATTGTATTATTAATTCTTGTGTAAGTTTTTGTTTACCAGTAATAAAAATAACTTTGTTAATAAAACATTTTGAAAATTATCATTTTTTTGAAGAAATTCATTACTCGTGGGTTGTAAAACAGGTGGGCATGATGATGACTGTAAAATGCAATGAAATGTGCATCAAACCCCAACATCGTAAGAGGGTCGATGCACAATACCAAGGGGGTCCTACAGGTGTGAATGCAAAAGGCTTTGCACCCCGCAAGTGGGAAGCAGTGCATTGATCGTGGAGGGTTCTGCTTCCAGCAACTCATTGGTGGTATGTGCTCAACACAAGTGACAGTCGGTAAAGGAAGGTCCATTTTTTTGGACACTGTGAGCATACACACACACACTACAGACTCACTCACACATACAAAATACAGACATTCAGGCCCCTCTTAGAATACCCCTAAGTATGATACCCCCAAACCTGAGAAGCAGTTAAGGCAAAGGAGAAAATGCAAAGTATGCAGAAGATAAATTCCCAAAAATAAAAATATGAAAAAAAGTTAAAAAAATTAATCTAAGACGCTGGAAGGCAAAATTTAATTCAATTCATTCAAATTTAAAGTTTATTCTCTATAAAGATTACAAAGTTGAATTTACAAAATTTGGTTTTTGGGGTTTTACTGTAGTTAAATAATGATTACAAGTGTACCATAGAATGCCCAGCATGGTAGGCATTTCGGGCAGACTTAATTTAATTTTTTATTTTTAAAAAATTACAAAATTTTGAAATAAGTTGGGATTATGGGTAATGGGCTAAAAATAGTTTGTGATTTAGCAA